GCATCTTGAATTTGGCTGAAATTTGAGATCTCTTAGATTTAGGTTTCTTTGGGCTCTAGCGGCGTCTAAAGATTTGGGAGAGATCGATCCTCCTCTCGAATTGAGGATCAATTGTATCTTTTCTATTATGTTTCATCTATTAGTAAAAATACAAGTCTTTTCTCCACAGTTTTCTCTCCGATTTGCTATTTTTCCACTGTTTCTTGGCTGATTTCTGCTGTGGACAGCAGTTTTACATTGGATCTACTTGGTTTTGGTGAGAAACACTTGGAAATCCAAGTGTTTCCTATCAGCCTTACACGTTTCTTTGCCTACTTTTTGGTTGGGGGGGTTCCAGGATCCATTTCTTGGGAGGCATTTATAAGTTGTAGGATGTTTTAAGATCATGTTTGAAATGCAGCTCTAGTACAAGATAGAAGATGCTACGACTTTGAGATTTTCAAACTTATGAGTTCAAAGTAGAGGCCGCAAACATTAGAACTGTGACCTGGATGAAAAATATTTGATAGACTTCTGAGGAAAAAAAACTGCTCAACAAGTTAAGCATAATAAAGGAGTAATGTATACCGTCACAAATAATACATGAAATGATAAATACCTCCAATTGCTGCTGATATGAGCCAATAAAGTCTAAATGGTCCTCATAATGTAGCTTCAACTGTCTATAGAATTCGGAGAATTCTGTCTGCATTATCTGTTCACAATCCTTGATGAGTCCTTCATTAATTCCAGCTTCGCGCATGCGTGTTTTAAGATTTTCAGTTGAAAAAGTTATATCATTTCGAAATAAAGATAGATTTTCTGGCAGGGATAATTTAGTCCTTGCTGAAATCAAAGCTTTAATCCAGGCCTGACGATCTTCCTTTGAACTGGTTTTCAACTGAAGTGTTTTTGTAGGAGAAAATATATAGAATCGCTTATCATCAGATTTGCTTTCCCGAAATGATGCTATCTATGATTGGACAAAAAAGTAAAAGATTTCAGAATGAAGTAAACTCTATGAAATTAGGCGAGAGATATTATGACGTGCTTTAATTTGAAAAATTATAAAGCTGAGTTGCAACGTCTTTATCAGTCTGTCTAAACATTGGGGAAAATAGTAAGAAATAGTCATTGCCTTTAAACGTTAAACATTTACAAGCTAAAACGGACAGTCGTAATTTGAATTTAAAGGGACAAAAGTTTAAGAAAATGGCAAGCAATGCCATGTGTTATTACATCCAGAACAGGCAGAGAACCAAACAATATAAAAGGTAATGGTTATATGGAAATGTGCATTTAATTAAATTGTTTCTAAGTTCCTCAAATGCAGTTTATTACGTTTGTTCAAACTATTAAAGAAAAAGCTCAACTCATCAATAACATTTAATGGTTTAGCAAAACAAATGTAGCGACAGATTCACAGTAGAGGATGGGGGTTTCTTTCTTTCTTCTGTGGTGTTAGTTTTGACTGACTTTGAACATGCACAATGGCAAAAAATGAAAATTACATTGGACAATTAGGTTCAAAAATAGGTAAAGTAACCCTCAATATATGGATAGTTCCCAATAAGCAAAACTTCCGAATGGTAATATCAGACTCTTATTAACTGGCTACAAAAATAACATATGGCGCCTAAACCACTAGCAACAGAAAACTTCACTGAATCAAATAGCGACAATAAAATAAATACCATAGCTTCTGAGAAAAGCTTAATAGTTAATCAACCGCCTTTATCAAACAAATTTTTTTTGAAGTATAAGATACATAAGTAGACTCCAAATGCATGTAAAGCATATTCCCATTAGTTTATACCCTTCTTACGTAAGGGAAAAATTGTAAATATAGTATTACCAAGAAAAGCTCATGTAAAAGAAGCAAAAGTTCATTTAAACATGCGTGAAGATGGCAAGTTTATAATTTAAGATATCTAATTAAAGATGATGCAACGGGATCTCTACTGCTTCACTTCATTTCCTTTAATCAACACGGCAATCAAATTAGCATTGATACGTCCTTCATAATTACTGGAGATATTTTATTGCAACACATGTCTATTCTGTCATAATTTAGCAACACGTTGTACCTTTCATGATCTAGAATTGTGGTTTGGAAAACTTATACAAATATAGGAAATATCTAAGTCTAGGAAACATGATTTATATGGGTGAATTGAGCAAACTAGGCTAATCTCCTAATCTATCAAAGAAAGAAAGAGAAAGAGGGGGAAACCGAAGACTTGCTTCTTGCAAAAGCATGGCCCTGCATATGAACAATCCTTGAATCCATGCCTTAAGGAGATTTGCACCTACAAATGGAATTAATCACTGAATAATGATAACTTAGAATGAGATCAATGGCTGTCTAATGATTTTGATCTTAAATACATCAAAATAGATATTTATTATCCAAGCTTAATAATTGTCCAACTAGTAAAATTATCCCATTTGTGATCTTTTTGTTGATAAAATCTTGCATAATTTCTTCCGTATAACACATTTGTATGATACTGTTGACCTATGTACAAGGAACAAAAGAGAGAAATGTAGAATCCTTATGGATCCACGATTTCTGCCGAAATTCCGCCAAGGAATTGTAGATTTAGCGCCGCTCACGTCAAAACCTCCACAAAACCCGTATCTTACCTCGATCGAGTGCCCAAATATGTCGTTAAATACCAACGAAATGAAGTCTTCGAGCCCGTTCATTTTCTCCCGCTCTCTGCTCTCTTGCTTCCACGACCTCTTCCCGATCTCCCTTCTACGTCTCGGCCCACGCAAGCTCCCCGACCTAGTAGCCTCCCTCTCCGATCGAATTCCAAGCCCTGCAGTCTTCCCTGTCCGAGCTCCCTCTACCCGACTTCCACACTTCCTTCAGCCCAAACCGAGAGAAATAGAGAGAGAGAGAGAGAGATAGATAGATAGAGAGAGAGAGAGAAAGAGAGAAGGAGAGCTCTTCTTACCAATGCTTTAAAAAACGAACCGGACCGGCCGGTCCGATCGGTTCAACTGTGAACCGGTCCAAAGGTCGGTTCGGTTCAACCTGAAAACCGGCTTAGCTTCAAACCGGCCGGTTTTGTCAGAAACCACCGGTTCAACCAGGTCGCGGTTCACTTGAACCGGCCGGTTTAAAATTTGTATTTTTTAATATTTAAATTTTAAATAACTTATTTTTAAATATTAAAAAATATTTGTAATTTAATTTCAAATTTGAAATGCTTAATTTTAAATTAAAAATTTCAAACAAGTATTTCATAAAGTTTCATCTCTTTACATGATGTACTACACCTTTCTAGCTCAAAAGCCAATATATAGTAAAAGCTTCACCAAGGGAAAGTCTCCCAAGTGATGTGGGACTAAAAAATCTAAAGCTCCTATGTCTTTCTTCTTAACTTTTAAGTTTAAAACATACACTATTCATTTTAAAATAAATTTTTTAAATAATATTTTTATGATGAAATAATATTTATTTTTAATTAATAATATTCCCCCATCGGGCGCGGTGTCATTTTGACACCTACCTGAAGCGCTCACGAAGCGTCGAGGGGAATATTGCCTCTTAGCTTTTCCCCTAAACGGGGGAGATGCCGGGAGGCTGCCAAAATTTCATTTGAAAATATTGAGGACTTAAACAAAGAGTGGATTTGAACTTGATCTGGATTTGAACCCAAGAAGGCAACATGGAGCTTAATTTGAATTATCAAAAAGAACCTGAACATGATTTAAATTTAAAGAACTACAAGGGACTCGAATGAAGAGAAGAGGTTCATCAGGAACCTGAACTATACTTTGAACTCGAACTATGCCACATCAAGTGGAACTTGAATAAGACTTGAACAACAGGGGACTCAAATTTGACATCAAAGTGGAACATGAAAATGAATCACATGGAATGGGACTTTAACTTAGCAAGTACTCAATCAAATCAACACAAATGCTAAAGACATAGATCTTTCTAACGAACATCAAAATCAAGTGATAACTTTAATTTTCAAATGCATTTGAAAGAACATTGAGATGAAAACATAGATTTGTGGTGGGCAAAGAAACTCCTACATCCCTATCATCAAAGGAGATACAACAAAAAAAAGGATGCAAATCATAAGTCAACGAGAGTCCAACCATTCAAATGTAAGTTATCTCATGAACAAAGTGATTCAAATTATTCAAACAAAGTGAGCGATATGGCAATATGCCTACATCTAAAGTTTCCCACAAGTGTTGAAAGTCTTCATGCTAGATAAGGAATGAATATCAAATAAATGATGAATGTAAAGCTTATTATACATGTTATGAACCGTCTTTGGAGACAAAGAACCTGTACGTTCAACTCATTTGCAAGTGACAAGAAGTTGGTGGGAAATACAACAACAATCATGCTTGTGGAAAGGGGTGTGGTGGTTGTAATGAACATCCTGATGTATTCATGAAGGAAACATAAAGAATATACAATGATTGTATAATGGATTCGATGAACTCTCCAAAGACATCGATAGAAGAATCATGACATATTCAACTTTTCGCCTACAATCAACATCGAAGTACAAGCAACTATATTCAACTTTGCAAGCTATAAAATAAGAGGAGATTTGATTTCAAACAAATATGCAAAGTCTCTAAATGGCACTACAAAATGCATGCAAATAATGGAAGTCAGTGTATAAAGGTCTATACAAGTCATAGGGAAGCCCCTACTACCAAGGTTGGCTTCTGGTGGATATGCCTGGTAGTCCTTACTAATACTAGAAGACACACAAGTAAATGCAACGGTCCACCAATCAAACACATCAATCTCCTGTAAGTAGAAGGGGTTTAATGACACTGCAAGAGACTAATACAACAACCAACATGTTAACTGAAACCAGAAAGGTTTTGCATGCAATGAATATAACAAGGTGACAAATTTGGATGCATTCGAGTGAATATTAACATACAAGTGAAAGATTAGTTTATCAGTGCAGACAAGTGAAAATCAAATACAAAAGCATTACAAAACCACTTAAATGAGTAAGGCCTCATGACGAATAAAACACCAAGTATGATTGTCCGCATGAAGTGGCCAACAACAATCAGGAATTGGGTGTGATTCAATTATAGGTAGATCATGAAGAACTTTAGCAGTGATCATGGTTTAAAATTACGTAATATGAGGCTCTCCTTTGAGCAATTCCAGTAAAAAACGCCTCGATGCTTACGCCTCAAGTTTTTTTTATGAGGCTTGCACCTCAAATTGGTTGAGGCCCGCCTCGCCTCACTAACATGATTGGACTCTATAGTAGAGGAGGAAGGGGAGAGAGCAGTTCATTATAATGATGATTCAAATGAAGAACCCTTAGTGATGACAGTGTTGATGACTTATGAGTTCTTATGTGATATGTCATTGTTATTTGTTTTTCGAAATTAGAATTATATGTTAATGAAAAAAATATTGGGATTTAGGAAAGATAGAATTTTGAGTTGAACTATATTTCAAGTTGTCTTATTATTAGGATATTTTGATTTCAATTCATATCTTATGATTTTTTATGTTTTATATTATTCACTCATTAGTATATAAAAAATTTATCATTTTATGTTTACGCAATCTTTTGATTTTGAGGCTTACGCCTCAAGCGCCTCGCCTCACGAATGAAAAACGCCTCAATACTCGAATACGTAATTTTAAACATTGACAGTGATTTGGTTCTTCAAAATGTGTCTAAGAAAGCTACCCACAAGCAAAATATAGAAGAACTTCAACAAGTGCAAGCCCCTATGATCCAAGGCAGGAGATTAGTTAGTGCACTACGATCCACCCGCATAAAATAACGAGTAGTGCACGACAGTCTACCTGTAATAAGCAGCGAACAATTCTATTCAGAAGTTGCCATGCCACACCACCGGATCCATAACTTCTATACAAGCGGACATAAGACGTTTACAAATATTTTCAGAATATCCCTGCACGTGCACTGTAGTTTGTATGCACATAGG